CTATAATGATATTGTTAAAATACGACGAAATCACAGTAGGACTGACTAGTCCGAACAGTGGCCATGAATAGTTACGTCACCCACTACTCCACATATTTAATATCATAATCAACAATGCTAACTTTCCGACACAATGGAAAACTTCTTAGGACAGGAAACAAACGTAATATAAAAAATTACAGACCGATATTTATTATGTGTGCTCCTTCCAAACTATTTGAACAGATAATCCATACTAAATTGTACGGCTATGTAGAAGGAGCCTTAGTTGAGCAACAGAACGGGTTTATGACCACACAACACAAATCTGCTACACAATATCCATGGATTTTAGCAAGGCCTTCGACAGGGTGGACTATGGTGTTTTGCTGCAAAAATTATATCGATTTGGACTCTCCCACAATATCATGAATCTTTTTAGGAGCTATCTTCAGGATCCATATTTTGTGGTTAGGCATGATGGAAATACCTCAGAAAAATTCCATGCTTCTTCAGGGGTACCTCAAGGTTCAAATTTGGGGCCCTTGTTCTTTTTGTTATTCATTAATGACTTGCCAGATGATATCAGATGTTTTTGCCGATGATGTGAAAATTTTTAAACAGGTGAGATCAGTCAGAGAATGCTCCGCCCTACAGAAATATTTGAATAGAGAATTGGTTTGGAGTGTTCGATGTAAGTTAGATTTTAACCTGAAGAAATGCCAAGTTATGACAATTACCCGCCAAAATGATCCCATTTCTTTTGACTACCGCATGAACAACGAATCGCTAAAAAGAGTGCATGAATGCAAAGACTCAGGAATGCAAATTATCATTTAACAAACATATTGAACATATAAGAAATACAGCAAATCGAGCTTTAGGATTCATTTTAAGACATACTTCTCTTTTTTTTAACATAGATTCCATAAAAGTGCTCTATTTCACGCTAGTGAGATCGAAATTCGAAATACGGTTCTGTAATTTGGAATGGAGAATACCAAACAACTCTACAGGAACTGGAAAAAGTACAGAAAACATTTCTATGGTAACTATATTATAAGAAATATCGTAGTTAACCCATTTACAACAGCATTACAACATCACAATTGAGAACTCAATTTAATATACCCTCCTTAGACTATAGGCGAAAAATCTTTGCACTAATTTTTATATATAAAATTATTATTATCAATATAAATTCCGCAGAATTAGTGTCAGTATTACCGATTCATGTACCTCCCAGACCTACGCGTACTATCCTTAACTTCAAGACTCCCTTCGTGACTGTTACTTCCACATCCCCCTCTCAATCATGCTCCGTCTGGCAAACTACATAAATTGCTTGCAAGATATAAAACTTGCTCCTTGTCAGTACCGAGAGGGTCATTTCAGCCGGAGTGAACCGTCTGAATATCCCGAACAAACAGAATCAATCCCAACTAGTCATAAGCAACAGATTCAATAGGATATACCACTACGCCACCTGCATACAAAGTCCGGAAACTACACCACGAACACAAACTCCGGGGCAGGAATCAGAATCATAAAAATATTTCAGAGAGGTCCATGCGATATGTTCAACTACAGGTAAAACCATCTCACTCTTGCCCCTCATGTGAATCTACGATTTTGTTGATAAGTACATTTTACTGAATCAGCTGCAGGTAGAGCTCATGACTAGTTGCAATCTATTTTGTTTGTTCGGGGTATTCAGACGGTTCATACCTTGTGAAATGACCTTATAGGACTGAAATATTCAGTTGTTTCAAAACTGATTTTTGCGCCGAATTATTTACTACCCATCCTTAGTATAACTCCAATCTGATTAGTGATCTGAAGATTGTCATCAACTTATTTGCGCCGCTTGAAGCAATAGTTCTCATGACTTTCAAACTATTCTAGCAGGTCACCTCCAGATGACGATAAATTGTTTCTAGCTCAGGTCTAGATCAAACGTCCTACCAAAAAAAATTACATGGGTCACGTGTGGAATATATATGTCATGAGTTTTTGATTTTGAGTTCGGGTTAGAGGCATCCAGAGAAATCGACACTTATTTTCTCATCTTTTGATATTTATAGCCCACAACTTTAGGATGATTTTTGATACAGAACTAGAAGGTTACTATGAACATTCTTTGGATTTTTTCATTTGCAAAATATGACCACCTGAGCCCCACTCCAGAGGGGCCGCACCGTCTTCAACTATATTGATAATAGATATCAAGAAAATAGAGTCGCATCGTCATCAACTATATTGATAATAGATATCAAGAAAATAGAGTCGCATCGTCATCAACTATATTGATAATAGCTATTAAAAAAAATGAAGTAACACCCAGTGAACAAATTGTTCGATGTTTCTGAGTTTATTAGTCGTTGTTTGAAAGTTTGTATATCTGATATTTCGTCTGCTACTACGCAAGACATCGTGAAGGGCGATGCGGCAAGTGTCAAAGTGATCACTTCGATTGCCGCATCATTTTTTCGTCTGCTACTGCGGCAGACATTCCACGATGTCCGCCGCAGTGATGAACCATTAATCCAACCACCATCAATCGACTGAGAGAGGAATCATCAAGACTCTATTAGACCGTGCTTTCGGGCTCTGTAATACGAAGGAAGATCTCGAGAAGGAACTAGACATCATCAAAAATGATCTTCAACGGAAAGGCTACTCCAAAGCGACGGTAGAAAAGACTTTGACTGAAAGACAGCAGGAGCCTTGCAAGGAAGAGAAGCCGTCACAACCAGTGCTTGCACTTCGCTACATCAGAGGATTATCGGAAAAGATAAGAAGAATTGGATCAAAGTACAACATCAGAACTTGCTTCAGATTCGGTAACACCATTGTAGCAGCCTCATGAAAACCAGACCACCAAACGTTGACTGCAATTCCAAAAATTGCATTTACCGTATACCTTGCGTGTGCGAAGAATCATACTTCGGTGAAACTGAGAGGCCATTGAAAGTTCGCATAGTCGAGCACCAGAAACACAAACAGCGAGAAGAAACCAACAAATCAGGAATAGCAGAGCATGCTTAGACCCATCAACATAATATCAGGTGGTCCCAAGCCGAGATCATACACAGAGAGAAACATTGGTTTAGGTTCAGCCAAGCTAGCGTAGAGATACGCAATATATGGAAACCCATAATGAAGCTAAAAATGGTCAACTCCCTCCCAAAGGTCATCTTCCGCTAAACAGGTGTAGCGGAAAAAGGAAAGCGGAGATAAGTGAATGTACTCGAATGACCCATATATAGTCATCTCTCGGAGGAACTAATCCAGTCATCTCCCGAAGACAATTGTGGATATCAACAATCGAAACGTCCTAAAGTATCTTGGCTTGAAATCTCTCTTTTTTAAATTTTTTAAATTTTCGTTCAATTGTTCCATTTTTACTTGTATTTCATTTCACTGTTATTTAATTTCAGGGTTTCTCAGCTTGATATAATTGTTATTTTCAGCTATTCTTTTTTAATTCTTCTTGACAATGGAAGTCCGAACTAATGAAATTCATCATGAAATATTGTCAATCACCTTCAAACAAGCAGTCTTTTTTGATCCATCTAGAGCGTTCGACTCACTATAGCAATATGATATCCTGGAAAAAACTCAAGTCATAGGAAGTTTATGGACATTTTCTACCTTACATAATGAGTATATTTAATGAAAGAGCGATCTTTCTGTGTAAGGGCAAACAATTGAATTGATATAGAATATGCATTATAGATATTTGAATAACCAACTCACCTAACAGAGTTTGAATAAGTGAACTTTTGCCACATCCCACTGGTCCAATGATTCCAATTAAGTCGCCTACTTTAACTCTTAAACTAATATTTTGTAGTACCAAGTCAGTATTGAGTTTATCCCAAGAAACACTCACATTTTTCCAAATTATTATTTCTTTTTCGTCGTTGAGAGGAAAATGGTATTCTGTAGGTTCTCGATATTGGTATTCATCGCTGTTGAGAAAATTCTGTAGCCTCTTGATAGATACATAAACCTCAGCTAATTCCGTTATACCGGTTACAAAAACACTGGACAAATTTTTACCCAACATCTGGTAGTAAGAAAGGAAAAGGAATACCTGAAAAAATATTCAATCAGTATTATGTAATGTAATTTTGTATATTATGTTGTTTCCAAATTTCATGATTTGTATTACTTTCTTCTTTAATATATTCATCAAGACTATGCTCAATTAGTATGAATTTCATAGTAAACAAACGATGAGGTGTTGAAAAATACACATACACCTCAGATGGTATTTGAATTGCTCATTTTCTCAACACAAACTTTCTCACGGGGAATATCAAGAGCTTTGAGATTCAAAAACTGACCAGAGATACTGTTTTTTTGTTGATGATGTTGAAAGCATCAATGTAAATGTAGGTGTTGATAAATTGGTAAGCATTAGGACTGTGATAGTTTTTCGACTTGAATAGATTTACTATTTTGAATGAGGTATGAATATTTTCATTTTACATGAAACGATCAAATGGTAAAAATAATTCATATATAGTTATGGATTCTAGTACATTAAGAGAACTATAAACATAGATTAGGCAAACTATACATGTACTTTGAAAAGATATAAAGAGCAAAGATAGTTCACTTCGAAGATAAGAACTCCTCCATTGTATAATACGAGTTATCCAGTGAGTATGTGAGTATGAGGACATTTTCAAACTTAAACAATCAATCATTGTTTAAGTGGTAAGAAACATAGAAATTTCCATTTCTCTTTTCATCACGAATCTCTATATTTTCAGCCGTACTCTGTTGTGTGGTAAATAATAAACTGTGTCTTACTAGCATTGATATGAAGACTATTAATGGAGAACCATAGAATGATTTTTTCATAAGATCATTGAAAGCTTGTTGATTGAGATCGTGAGATTTTTGTGATACTGATATGGAAAGATCATCAGCGTATAACGTTAGTTTGAAATGTGAGAGATATTTTTCAATATCTGCTATGTAGATTGAAATGTATTAAATACTCACTGCATCGAAATTGTTTGAACATGTGTGGTCACTCATTCATTCAATTTTTGCTTTTTTGGAGAACACATAATTTTGAAATGCACTTCAACTTCACTCTTATAGAAAATCAGAAGGTCACAACTCGCGCAACTCATTTCTATATAGATCCCTCCCAAACATGACAACCCATTATTTCAAACCAGTAACTACGCTGGTTTCCCATTTCAGCTCTGTGGTTCGGAAACATTTTCATTGGCATCTTTCCTTGCCAACTCAAAAATTCTGCAGGAGTCAGAGGATTTTCATTGGAAAGGTCCGATGAATAAGGAGTCGAGGGCTTTACATTGGGTATATTTTTGATCTGAATGAGTGAATGAAGTAGTAGATGTTAGTGGCAAATTTTAAATAAAATTATATCTGGATGATCAGCACCAACAAAGTTTGTACCGTTCGTTTGAAGGTGGTTGACAATGTTTCGTTGTGTATTTCATCAGTTCAGACTTCCATATAAATTGATTTGAAATCTCTGAGAAAAATTAAAAGATTAACCCAAAGNACATCGACCCCGATAATTTCTTTCGGTGATGAAAGAAAACTTTTACTTCAAATTATTTGTTTCTTCACAATTCATTGCATTCATATGACTGGCATTGACAAATATTCATTAGTGTTATCATTCATTCTTCTTGTTTCAATGTAGTCAATGAATCACCACCATAGAGAATAATTTATAATGACAACTGTTTGATGTGGTAAATAAAAGGGTATATCGTAAATATTTAATTTATGAAATATTTGTGTAATTGCATACAAGATTCATATTTTCGTTTGGATTTGAATAGCTATTGAGTTTTTTCGCAACTATTTATGCCATTTTGAAAATTTCCTAGTTGTTTAGAATTGACCTTCAAACGATTTATCAGAAATCATTTTTAAAAATTGTTTGCGAAATGTGACTTTTAATCTTTCTTTGTATGATATATTCATGAGTTTTCCTAATGACAATTGAAGCTCGCATACCGGAGTATAAAAACCCCGAATGCGATTCGAGGTCATATTGTGGGCCATTCAAAAATAAATGCCGTTTTATTTTCACCAACTTAAGTATATGACAACTGGCGACAAGTAGAGTTACACTTCAAAATAAGTGTGAAAACCCACAAATCTAAAGGATTTTTAAAATACAAATTTTGCTGAAAATTTTAAAATGCAGAATCCATCATATTATGGACAAATACGAGAATTCAGTGCTCAAGATAGTGACTGGGCAATATATAAAAGACGACTAGATAATTATTACTTGGTGAACGCTATTACGGATGATGCCTAGCAGAAAGCAATTTTACTTAATGCTTAGAATGAAGATTCATACAAGTTGATGTACAATCTGTTTGCCAAGATTACCTGAAAACAAAACGTACAAGGAACTTACGGAAATATTCGATGAATATTCTAAGGTATCCGAGTCTCTTTATGTGGCAAGATCTAAGTTTTTTGTTTCGTTAAAAAACCCACATGAGAGTGCAAATGAATGAGCAGCGAGAGTGAGGAATTTGGCTGTGAATTGCAAATTTGAAGAAGCAGTTATAGACATGATGCTGAAATAGAGATTTATCATTGGTTTTGATAAAGGTTCAATTCAGTCCAAATTATTCAAGGAAAACTCGACAAGTAAGTTTGCCGATGTTGTTGAAACAGCAATCGCAGAAATAGCGGCAACTGATGGTCCATTTAGTCGGAATCGTACCATCAAGATGGAGCCAGCAGTCCACCACGTAACTTCTAGAAAGTATTATCGAACTCCGATGTCACCCAAGCAACAAACAACCAGAGTTAAAGTAGATGAAAAATGGAAGTGTTGTGCGAGAGCGAATCATTCAACACAAAAATGCCGTTTTCTAGAATATATGTGTAATTTTTGCAATAATACATGACACCTTGCTTTTGTCATAAGGGCAAAAATTAGAAAAAATATTCGTGTACAAAATTTCATTGAAAGTGAAGCATTGTTCTCAATTTCTAACATGGAAATTGAGAAACTCTATTTATTATTGATATTTCTATAGACGACAAAATGTATGATTTTCAACTGGACACTGGAGCAGGTATTTCAGCTATTTCGGAAACGTTTTATAAAGAAAATTTTTCAACTTATAAATTGGTACCCCCAGATAAATGCTTGAATATTTACACTGGCGAGAAAATGCTAGCTCTTGGAATATGCAAGTTAACTATTTCCTATAGTAATATTGTTGAAGACCTGAACATTCTTGTTATGAAACAGGGTGGTACTCCTATTTCCGGTAGAAATTTTGGATTCAATGCAAAAATTTGAAGACGTTTTTCCTCTCGGTTTCGGGGCATTTAATAAGGGTACTATTTCTCTGAAATTGAAAGATCAAGACATTTCACCGAAATTCATAAACGCACGACCCCTTTCTTTTGGAATGAGGAATAAAGTTGAAGCGGAATTAACTAATTTGGAAAAGTTAGGTATAATCAAACCTGTTGATTATTCACCATNTAGATCACAAAATATTTGTTTCAGAACATTCATAGAATGTAAGGTCTGATACAACTAATTAAATCTTTAGTGAAATATTCACTTCAGATTAATGGTAACTATTCTGTTGTTTTTGCAGATTTGAAATTGCTTTTGCAAGACTGGACACTGATGAAACTCTGATCATTAGCAATATTCACCCTTTTTGTAATTCTTGTGTTTTTGAGTGTGCTGAATCCGAAAATGAATTTCATTTTGTCAACATCACATTCTCTGACAAATCACCTTCTTGAAATGAAAGATGGAAAAATCATATTTATAATTGGTAACAAACTTTTTTCATCTGAAATACAATAAGTAGTAAGCACTAAACAGATTTCTTTTTCCCAGTGAGACTCCTTTTGGTACATTTTCGTTTGTAGGAAGCATATGGAAGGTCTTTCTGAAGCACCCAACACTAGTCTTCCATCATTGAGACGCTCTATTTTCCCTGTTATCTTTTTTCCATCTCCTCAATATCTTGATTAAATCGTTCACCTTGCTCATCACTCACATCTGAAGAAAATTAACTTTCGAATTCATTAGGCAACCTAAAGCTTGAGATGCTTTGAACATTCTTCTGACGATTTGTTTGTGGTTTTTTGTCGCCTGGAAACTTCTCTATGATCTCTTTGATGGCAATCCACCCTCCTCTTTGAGGATCCGTCAGGATTGTGATGAATTGTGGATCAGCCAGTCTAATATATCTTTTCAATTTTGACTCTGAGAGGAATGGAAACTTTGATAATAAGTATTTGAAGCAATTTTCATTTCTTGGGGGTGATTTTACAAACTGCTTCACAAACCCAGCTTTATGTGAAGCGGTGGTAGAAGAACTTTATGAGGAAACGTCAGTTTCATGCCAACGCTAAGCTTCCTCGGATTGTTGTCCGAGCAACATGCCCATGGTGATTTCCAAATCACCGCAAACTTGTCAACCGTGATCTTTATATATTTTAATCTGCAAAGAATTAATTCCAGGTTCTCGTAGGTTTCCTTGAGGTGTACGGCGTGACCGACAGAAATGAAGGCCTAGAAACCGTCATTATGGAGCAGAACTGCTTGATTATTCTTCTCAAGCATCTATGAAAATACGCCACTGTGCTGGGTCACATGAGATATCAAATGTATTCATAAAACCATCAATATTGCTACAATAAACCAACTCGTCCTCTTTGGCAAAGTAGGAAGTGAACTACTTCTCGCGATATTTAAACCGAAAGGAAGACACTTCCGGCAACTCGGCAGCGTCTATTGAAGTCTCTTACGTAATCGTTGAGCTCGCCCTGTTACAACAATTTCGGGCTGCTGTTATCTTCGAATTCAAAACTTAACTTGTCATCGGTTTCAGGTACAACACCATCTTCGTCAGAACTTCTCTATTGATATAGCAGGGACCTTGGGCACTGGTATTTCGCTCTCATGAAGGATAGGACGAATAGCTGATTGCAGATTAGGGAATGAAGTTGACTGCTTCCGTTTTGAATTATACCCTTTTACATTACTTGAACAAAAGTAACAATCATCACATGGTTCTTTTGATCTCGCCATAACACAGA